CTGAGTCTCCACCCGACTCACTGATTCGAGTCACAACTCGAAGGGTTTGGGGTTTCGCGACCTGACTCGCCGAGTCCAAGGCAATCTTCATACGACTCGACGAGTTTTTCATCCCACTCGTCGAGTTTCTCCAAAACTTCATGCTACTCGCCGAGTCCACTCAAAGGACTCGTCGAGTCCCTTCAGATCTCCTTACATGCAGAGGATTTTTGGGTCATGCATGGACTCCAAACTATAGATCCACCCTTCCCAAGCCTATTCCACACGTAAAGTTGCAAACTTTACGTGTAGAGGAGATCTAGGCAAGATACGCCATTAACTAGGGTGTAAGGCCAAGGGACTTCAAAATCGACTCAATGGCTGATACTTTATGCTTCTCCAGGCCCTAAAACACTTGAATCTGAAGTAGCAACTCCAGATCCGGCTTCTAACCCAAAATAATAACATTATGGCAAAAGAGCCCCAACAACCACACATAGATCTAGGTGCAAAAAGGGTCCAGGAACTAGTTTATTACCTCCAAGTGCTCAGAATGAACTCACAATCCCAGATCTATAGCTCCTTCTTGCTTCTCCAAGTTCCTTCTTCCTTTTCCAAGCTTTAATGCACCTTCCAAGGCTCAACTAGGAGATATGACGGCTAGGGTTTGATATCCAGGGCTAAAGAGGCAGTAAGGAACCCTAGGAAGAAGATTAAGACATTTATATAGGCCCCAAGTCTCGAATTTAGGGTTTTCCACGCACAGACCAGACTCGCCGAGTCACCTTGATCGACTCGCCGAGTCGGTCGCTTACACCTCGACCCGGCTCCCGCTCGGACTCGCCGAGTCGGCCCTTAAATTAGGGCTTTTCTTTCCCTTCTTGGCCTTTGAAACTTTGGGTGTTACATAGTAAGCTCCTTTTTTTGTTTTAGTTCTGAATAAAAGTGTGTTTCAACCCCAACATAAACTAGTATTGGCTTTAGATTTATCATCAGAAGTAATATGGAGCCCATTATAACCATAGCAATATAGCAATGCCAAATTTTCCAATAGAGGACTCCCAGATATTATATTTGCAATCAAATCTTCATCTAAATACATATCAGAAATACATAAACTCCTAAGATTTTCACAACTAATTGCCCCACTTGGATTCAACTTGCATCCTGATAGTCTCAGATCAGTAAAACACGAATTCATGAATATAAATTCACTTAAGAGAAACTCTGCTTCCCCCTCCCAAATGTATAAGTTCAGCTCTTCTACAACTTATAGCATAACGAATCCAATTGTTGAATTACGATACAAATTGGATATCATAAAAGGTATGTACTTTGAATTTCTTAAGTTTCAATTAGCAACATTGAGTTAGGTTTTATCCAACAATAATGTGAAATCAGACCTTTACTTATGGTTTTTTGATAGTTAGTGAATGATCTGAATGTGTAAAAATAAGAGTTGGTACCTAATTCCAAAGATGTTTCCATCGCTTGAAGAGTGTACCAGTTCTAATGGTGTCTTTTGTTGATGGTAAACGAAACAGGATTTCAAGAAGCAGGCAATCAGGAATCGCACTGATTCTATCATCTTCCATGTTCTCCTTGATTTCTTGAAATTTAGTCCGTTTCTGGGAAATTTTACATTGATTTTGTCATTCTTCCAACATCTTTCGACAGAGCCTTGTTTTCCCCCATGAAAAATTGCACAAAACTCAATTAGCCCTTTTTTGTTCTTTTGGGATTTTTTTTTGGGGGCTAAAAAGTTCTTTTTAACAAAATGACTTTTTGACTTTTGGTTTTTCACAAAAGAATGTTTTGAAAAATGTTTGGTTTATCTTTTGAAGAACTAAAAACTAAAAACTCAAAAGTCATAAAAAATCACTAATTTATGACTTTTGAAATAGCCCCTTTTTGTTCTTGCCAAAAAGTTGATCTAATAAACTTTTTAAACTGTCAAACATCTTTTTTGACTTTTAACTTTTTGAAAAAGAAAAAAGTCCTAAAAGTCATTCTCAAAAGATATATCAAACACCCTCGTATACAATACATCTATACATCTGAAAGTTTTGCTTTACCACCCTCTCTACTTTGAAAATATACTATTCATTCTATTAAAAATAAATATTTTTTCATATTTAAATTATTAATCCATCATTAGCCAAAGGGATAAATGGATAATGACTTACAAGGGTAATATATTTTTTTAATTTGTATATATTTAGTTACTGAGTTTTTTTTTCGTCTACATTTACCCTTTCAACTTGTTAAACTGTACACATTCAGTCCTTATGACCGGTTATTCCAGGGTAATATATTTATCACTTTGTACACATTTAGTCCTTAATATTTTTGTATATTTAGTCATTTTTGTTTGACAAAATTACAAAAATGGTCTGTATAGTCTGCCAAAAGTCACGAAGTCAGACCCTCCTAATTTTTTTGATACAAATGGTCCTTGTGGTTTGCAAAACTTGCACTGATGACCTTTTTACTAACGTCGTTAGTATTTAGCCGTTAGGGACTGAATCTGTAAGGTCATTCTCGTCTTTTCAAGTATACAAGGACTAAAGTCGTGATAGTTGATAAAACATAGGGACCATTTTTGAAATTTCTTTGCCGAGCCTGACAACGACCAGCCTCTGATTGTTTCTATTTAGATTCTATAAAATCACGCTACGAGGGTAAGTTTCACATTCCCACCTTTTAATGTTTTCGGGGTGGGGGGGGGGGACGCATGCTAAATATTGTATACAAGTTAATATTATGTTTATATGATAGTATGTTCTTATCATCATAGATAGTTATTAACCGGGATATAGTTGTCTCGTATGATATATACCTAGAATATACCTGATATTTTTAAAACATACGACTATCTTAAAATTGCTAGCATGTTGTTATTATAGTTTATACTAATATAGCCCCTGAAGTTATATTCGGAAGTTCTATATATACTTGTTAAGTATGTTGTTATTATTGGTTTTATGTTAAGATAAAACTTGGTTTTACTTCAAGTTATAACTATTATACTGCCTAAGTATTATGAAATTAGGAGTAATGTTTAAAATCATAGTCAAGTAACTTAAGGTTTTAGACACGAATATGCTTTTGTTATTAGAACTATAGGAGGTCGACAAAGTCTACATGATCTATTTTATTCATCGAATAAGATTGGAAATCTTAGGGCAAATCCTCTGACCGTAACTGTTAATCATGTGTGAGCGAGGAAGTTGTGTGTATAGATTTATGTGGGTTAACACCCCACTCGTGGTTGCTAGCTACAACCTAACGGTTTTACAGGTGATGAACTTGCCCATTTTTTTCTATTCTGACGTAGATGAAGCGTCCAGAAATCTATTATTAAGGTGCAACACTTATAGCATCATTCAGAGGTAGTGGCGTCGTATTAGCAGCAGTTACGGACTCATGGTAGCACAATTTTAGAAGCATTATACTTTGTCGATACAATATGAATGTTAAGTTTAAGTTTCCTAAACAATTATACTCTAAGTACAATGAACTTGTAGGTATACTACTTGGTCATCAAGTAGACAATTATACCTAGTACACATACTCATATAGAATTTAAATAAGATTTATACGTAGCGGTTTTACTCATATAGAACTGAAATAAGATTTATATGTAGTGGTTTTACTCGTATAGAATTGAAATAAGATTTATACGTAGCGGTTTTACTCGTATAGAATTGAAATAAGATTTATACGTAGCGGTTTTACTTGTATAGAATTGAAATAAGATTTATACATAGCGGCTTTACTCGTATAGAATTGAAATAAGATTTATACGTAGCGGTTTTTACTCATATAGAATTGCAATATGATTTATACGTAGCAACCGTCATTTTTATGGGATTACAAACACTTAAATTCATAATATATGAGACTTATAGATATACTACTTATTTAGTAAGCAAACCATTATACCTAGGATATATATATACTATATGTTAGAAATAAGTACGAGTCAGAATGATATTTTCAAACTATGTTTTATACTTTTCAAACTTGGAAAAAAAATACTATTTTACTCAGAGTCAAAACATATGGACTTACCAACTTTATGTTGACGTATTTTTAAAATACATGTGTTTTCAGGAATTTGATAACTTTGATACAAGGAATGACGTTATACCGTCCGATGTTTCCACCATCAGCTGGGGGCGTGACACACGATGTAGCGGTTGACTAAGGTCAACATTAGCCATTAATGTTTTCCGTTGAATTTTGGCATGGGTTAAATTTTAGTCAAATTTCTATTTTTAGAAAGTAGACTTAGGGTTTGCCTTGTGTGGATTGATAGGATGTGTTTAACACCCATCTTTTAGCGGTAAGAGCTGTTAGTTACGGTCGTCGTGACATTGAGCAGGGGTGAGTCTCTTCACTGCACCCGTGGGTCAAAGGTACCAATGTCGGCCCATTGGATTATGTTTATAGGATGATAGTTATTTTTGTGAAAATTGTTGATATGGTTGCATGTGCTTCTTGTCTTTGCGACTCATGATCATATGTTTGTATGCTTATGTCTGTGTGGCGAAACGGACACGGGGGTTGATATGGACCTGACACAGCTACAAGTTGTTATATAGAGTCATTATTCCACAGAAATGTTTTAATAACAATATTATCATCTTTTAGGAACAAATTTCGCATCAATTTTTATACTTTGAAATAAATTAAGCATAAATAAAAAGCTTTAAATTTGCGGTAAAAATTGAGATGTCACAAGTACCGTAAAAAAAACCAAATTAATACAAAATTTTCACGCAAAATGAATAAAACAATTACAAATTCAACATGATTTACAACAACTTGCAAAGTTAACAGAAAAGCAGGGAAAACGATCAACAAGTTTTCAAGACGATGCTTCAAAAGTTTCAATTTAATAACAATAAGAGGCTGTTGAAATTTATCCATATTTGTAAACTTTAACCGCATCCCCAAAATGAATAAAAGAGTACAGTAGTGATAAAGGTGGTTCAAAAGGTACCAAAGTTTCCAAGATGAGTTACATTATTTTATCAGATGCACATTCTGGGCTTTATTTGAACGGAGAAGATGAACTCGAACTTGAAGAGGTAGTTCGTCCGATAGATATTGATAAGGTGAAAAAGAGAGGGTTTCGTCGAATACATCGGGAATTGGAAGAGGAAATGTCATTCAAAAGGTTGCTAGTAATCTCAAAATTAAAATTTTGAATTCAAAAACCGTTTGAATTTTGAAAATGAGAAATTGGGGGAGAAAATAAAACTCAAGAGGAGAAGTAAGAAGGTGAAAAGAAAAAGCAGTCGCGATAGAAAATTTCAACAAAATAATTATCGATCATATCATCGAAAACGAGTTCGATATGGTTTTGAGAGCTAGAGCGAAAATCATGAAAAAATATGACAATTAGTCTTATTTTATAGTGTTTTAATTTAATTAGTGTTTTAACTATGTAATCGTTTTTATTTAAAATAATAGAATATTTTTCTTTATATTATTATAAATATGTATTTTAAACATTTATATAATTAATAAGGTACATTTTAAAAAAATATTGCAAAGTATGTTACCACTCCTATCAATTTTGTGAGAGGAAGGAGCATGGGAGAAAATAATCTAACTATATATTATAAGATATGATACCATATCCGCAGGTCTTAAATATGTTTTTTTTTCTTTTTATCAAATTCAAATATATACTTAAAAGAAATTTTAACTGTTAGCGATTTAATTAAAAATTGGAAACAATTACTTGTGCGTAGAAGAAAAGTCACAATAACTTCATAAAAGTCTAAACTCATAACTCTCAAGTGGTCCCACATCTACCATGTCATCACCCCGTAATATTTGAAAACTGAAAAGGATCACTTTTGAACTTTCAACGAATTCCAACGGTCTACTCTCCTGTTTCATCATAATTACACACCGTACGATCATTTGGAAACGGCCCCTTATTTAATTTTACCCCCCTCAACTTTTCAAAAACTGTGCAAAGAAACTTACAAACCATTTTTTCTTTGGCAAAATTGGGCTGTTGTTATTGTGAATTTGTGATAGTTGAATAATAAAACTGGTGTTAAATAAATCACCTAACAAATATGTGAAGTTTATCCTGAATCCTCAAAAAAGTTGAATCTCAAACAACCACCAAATACCCATATCAAAGAGACTCGATTCTCACATCTTTTAATTGAATAACCGAGTAAAAAACCATTCTAAAAAAGGAAAATTATTATGAAGAAAATCTTTATAATGCTCTTGACGTTATTATATGTAATTATGTAAAGTTGGCTAAAACGAATACAATTTATTAATCTAATTTGACGCAAACCTAAATTTAATAGATCCATTGAGATTTAATGTGGTGTCAAGATGATATTTTCGTGAACACTTTATTTAACATAAATTTACTAAAATTTAAAATTAATAGAATATACAAATAATTAATATTTACATTTTTACTATAGGGTTTAGCATCATTATTATTATTCATATTATTATTATATTTTTATCCATTTGAAAAAATTTGATAGTGTCTATGAATCTAATCCATGTTATAACTCAAAGCACGTAAAGCTAGTTGCGGATGTAGAAAAAAAAAAGTTGGGATCTGCATTTGATTGATCTAGAAATAATTTTATATGTCAAAACATAATGAATAATATTAAATAAAAATATCATGATTAATTACATTTTCACTCAATAAATTGGACAGGTGAATAATTCTTTATTTCACAAATTACATGATGTTTATATAATTCAAAATTTCAACTGCAAAAACAACATTCACAAATATACAATGATAATACTTTGTTAATGATCTTAGTTAACATTATTTTTATCAAATATTGCATTTTTTTAAAACATCAAATATGTCGAAACCATCAACTTACAATGGGTTTTCGGAACAAATATGACAAACAGTCTCGTCATGTTTTTCCCACGTTTTATTAAGAATTTTTGAACTCTTTAAGGATAAGTTTGATTTTTTTTAAAAAAAATCAATTTTCTTGTTTTGAGAATAGGTGGTGTGATTTTCTTAAATAAAAATGATATTTTTTAAAGATAAATAAGATACGAAACATCTATTTTATCCTCATCACTTATCACGACGGTGCTTTCTTGCTTTCTCCGTATGCAAATATTTTGAAGAGGATATGCAAGATTAGTTGCAATATATAATTTTTTTTTATAGAACATAGATAATCACATTCTTGTAAAAAGTCAAGCCATATTTTTATTTACAATAACAAATAAAGATGCTAGACGATCTGCTATTTATAGCTAATAAAAAAAACGTACGCACAAACACTGCATTTTGGGTCCGTATATGATGATGTGATTCTAATTTTTCAACGTGTTATCTATAAATAAAGTCAGTTTTATAGTGACGTTCGTTAATATTTCACCAATCCCCGTTTCTATAAATCATTTCAAATGCATAGTTATGTAATGAAGGTTTGTATAAGGTAAATAATGCAAATTATAGAACAAGAAGGACTACTATCGTTAATCTCAAAAACCAGAAGGATATTTGGCCTGCTACCATTAACCAAGGTATATTTAAAAGTAATTTCTCTCTCCACACCAACACCCATAGAAGCCAGAGAAACGATGCAGTCATAACTTGAAATATATGCATAAACGCTTGTACAATTTCTATGATTTTGTGTTTTTACCTCTGTTTACTCTGAACAGTTGTTTCATAAAGTGAATCTTGGAGCTTGCGTCTGACATTAGAGAGGGATTCGAAGCAGTAGGAAGAAGCGTTTTTTTGATTTTTGAATGCAATTGTTCTTGTCGTCGTGCTTGCTTCACTCCATTGTCATCCATTTGCGAGCTTGATCGTCTTCATTGCAGGTAAACTTCTAAATTTTAAATTTTAAATTCTTCCCTGATTCTTGTGCATTTCCGTTTTTGGATACTACATTTGACCGTTGGGTCTTCTATTTCTTCAGCATTTCATGGTCAAAGTTGGTGTTTTTAAGATCAAATCTTTGGTGGGTGTTCCTAAAATTTCCTTCAGATCAATCTTTACCATTTATAAGGTGTTTCGATATCTTTAGAAATTTGTTGTTTAGTCACTGTTTAGGTTCTCTAAGTTTAGGGAAATTTGTTATTTTAGATCAAATTCAATTCTTTGTTGGGTGTTTTTGACTGTTTGTCAAAGTCAACACTTCAGTTATGAACTTATGATTTAACACTTGTGAGGTAATTTCGGAAAATAGGTTTTAAAGATTAAATCTTTGAGGGTATTTCTCAAAAGCCAAATTCTTTGAGATTGCTGCATCTATTCTTGTCTTTTTTTTGGAAATTTTCGGAAAATAATATTTGAAACGTCAAACCCATCATTACCCTTTTGATGGAATTGTTCTAATCTATGGTGGGTGTATTCCAAATTTCCAAGAAATTTATGATTAAATCCTTGATTGTGCATTCTAATTTTAGATAATAGTGTTTATAAAGATCAAATCGTTGGTGGGTATGTCTACAAACTTTTAGAAACTTATTGTTTAATCTTTGAATGTACTCCGTGAAATAGGAAAAATAGTGTTTTCAAAGCATGATCTTTGATATTGTTTTTGTACAAAGCAACAATTTTCAATTCCAAAAGCAATACCGATTCATATTGTGCATTAAAACTTATACATTATCCGCAATTGGTCTAAAAAAGGGTAACCTTAATCTTTAGGAGGGTATTTCACACATTTCTTAGAAACTACTTTCCGAATCCTAGATTGTGCTTTTAACTAATTAGGAAAGTTTTTTTTTTTTTTTTTTTTTTTTTTTTTTTTTTTTTTTTTACGTAAAGTTCAAATTTGTTTAAAAGGTTTTTGCTTGAAGTTCTTCTAAAACAACACAGCCAACAATACCCCACCAAAGCCCCTTCCTTTTTTCAAACTCTCTGATTTTAGTTTTTGTTAATTATTCATTTTGTATTTGTTCTTCACAGAAGCATTAGTCTTGGATTTTGAGTAATTCAAACGATGGCAAGAAACCAATCACATTGAGGTATGGATTTGATCTTTGTATTAATTGCCCCAAAATTTAATTTGCATTTGGTGGGACCATCATCGACATGGGTATAAATGAAATTTTAATTATGGACCCATAAAAATTAAAAACAATAGAATAAAAAGATGAACTTTAAGTTAACTTGGGTATTGATGGATAACCGATTGACCTTTGTTTAAATTCGAATATTACTCGGTCCCTATAACTATATGGAGGTTCGTTTTCAGTGACTCTAGAGCATGAGTCAACTACTCGGTCCCTATACCTATGTTTAAATTCTGATTCCACCGGGATGTTCCTTTTTCCAAAAAAAAAAAAATAAATAAAAACTTTTAGTTATTTGAAAAATAATTTGATGGGTTGGTGCCATTTCAATTTTGTAAAATATTGTATTGTATGAGTTTGTAGTGAGGGTTGATAGAGACCCTCTAAAGTCCCCACTTCAAAGCAAAGTCTCGATTCAGTTTTCTTCATTTCTAAAGAATACTTGCTCTAAAATTTTGGAAAAATCCAACTTTTTATATTAAAAACTCTAACATCATAAAACTATTTATAGTTTTGTAACACCAACATGTTTTCATTCAATGTAGTAGTTATCAAATCTCGAGCTTGAAACGAAGCAAAATTCGTTTGACTTTATAGCTAGAAGTTAACTCGATTGACTCTAGATTCGCTTTTCGAAAATAAGATATATAATGAGGACAAAAAAGGCCCAAATTTGAATCTTAGCATTTCGAAACATGACTTCACATATACATATATAATTTTCTGATAAATAATAGACATAATTGTCCTTTTACGGTTTATTTCACAGAGAAAAAAAACGTACATGTCATATCATTTTCATAATAAAAAATCAGAAACTTTCTTGATAATTGCCTTTAATAGGCGGCTCTTTCTTAGCCACTGAAATGTCGTCCCCTCACTTTCATCATCTTTACACTACAATCGTGTAAAGTAAATCAGAAAGAAAAATAAGCAACAATTTTGTTCATATATATAGATAGATATATCTATATATAATTTCTTTGTATTATTAGAACTTGATTGTCATTTCTCATTACACACATGTGGGGTTTGCATTTCCTTGTAATTACTTTGCCTCTCTTATTTTTAGTAAACGGATTATATATGACGATGCAAGATTCTCCAATCTTCTATACATTGGTCCCTTTTTCTTTCTTTAGTCTTTTTATTTAATTATTTGATAATTTGAAAGTTAGGTGATGCAAACTTTTCTATAGTTTAACGAAAAAGTTGTGATTTTTTCTGATTTTTAATCTTATTTTCGATAACTTAACTTGAGCATGTTGGTTTCTCAAAGCTTCAAGAATCAAATTTGATCTTGGTTTCCTTAAATTTCTTGATCTTGCTCCCTTTTTTCTTATTTATTTTATTAATAAAGTTTCATGTTGGGATTTTTCCACATCTTTTAAGAACGAGGTTCGATTTTTTATCTTGTTTTGGATCGCTTTGCTTAAACATATCGGTTTCTTTGAGCTTGTCGATTCAAATTGACATGAAAAAAGTCAAAATTGAGGTCTTAGATCTATAATATCCATGTAAAATCTATATGTACATCTTTTTAGTCTTAAAGCTTCGATTTTTATCGATTTTCAGTTCAGTATGTCGGTTTCATTAGGCTTACAGATTCAAATTTGACCTCAATAACTCAAATTCGAGTTTATTTTAATTTAAACCCCTGAAAATATTGCCTTTTGTTTCGTATTTTTTGCAGATTAGAGTTGGTTAAGTTTCAATGGCCGACCTCCGATTAGCCGATGAGTCGCTTTCACGTGCTAAAGATCTTGTTCCGGTGGCTTTGGAAAAGGCACGAGAAGTGAAAGAATTCCCAGGAAGATGGAAAATGATTATATGTCGATTAGAGCAAATCCCATCTCGTTTATCAGATTTATCAAGCCACCCATGTTTCTCGAAGAACACGTTATGCAACGAACAATTAGAAGCAATCTCCAAGACTTTGAATGAATCAATCGAGTTGGCAGAAACATGTTCAAAGGGAAAATACGATGGAAAGCTCCAAATGCAAAGCGACCTCGATTCATTATCAGGAAAACTCGATTTGAATCTTCGAGATTGCGGGCTTTTAATCAAAACCGGTGTTCTTGGTGAGGTCACCATGTCAACCGATCTTGAAGGTACAAGTCATCGAAGCACGGACAATAACATCCGGGAATTACTTGCGAGGCTGCAAATCGGTCATTTGGAAGCTAAACATAAAGCTCTCGACACCCTTGTTGACGTGATGAAAGAAGATGAAAAGACGGTTTTGTCCATTGTGGGACGTAGTAACATCGGAGCTTTGGTACAACTCCTCACCGCTACTTCACCAAGAATCCGGGAGAAAACGGTTACTTTGATCTGTTCATTGGCGGAATCCGGTGGTTGTGAAAGTTGGCTAGTTTCCGAAGGTGTTCTTCCACCTCTAATCCGGTTGTTAGAATCCGGAAGCTCAATCGGAAGGGAAAAATCCGTAATCGCCCTTCAAAGATTGTCAATGTCTGAAGAAACCGCAAGGGCGATAGCGGGACACGGCGGAGTCCCGCCACTCATCGACATTTGTTCCACCGGAATCGGTGATTCCGTTTCCCAAGCTTCGGCCGCTTGTACTTTGAAAAACTTATCTGTAATCCCCGAATTGCGCCAAACCCTAGCCGAAGAAGGAATCGTGAAAATCATGATTTCGGTTCTCGATACCGGAATCTTGTTGGGATCAAAGGAATACGCGGCGGAATGTTTACGGAATTTAACCTCGAGCAACGATGATCTAAAAAGATCGGTGATTAACGAAGGTGGGGTCCGCAGTCTATTGGCTTACCTCGACGGCCCATTACCTCAAGAACCTGCGGTTGCGGCTTTACGGAATTTGGTCGGGTTAGTGTCAATGGAAACCCTAATTTCACTCGGACTGCTTCCGAGAATTGTACATGTGTTAAAATCGGGCTCACTTGGGGCCCAAAAGGCCGCCACATCATCGATATGTCGTATTTGTAACACGACGGAAATGAAAAAACTCGTGGGTGAAAGCGGGTGTGTCCCGTTGTTGATCGGTTTGCTCGAGGCTAAATCGAATGGGGTTCGGGAAGTGGCGGCTCAAGCCCTTGCGAGCTTAATGACAGTTCAATGCAACCGAAGAGAGGTTAAAAAAGATGATAAAAGTGTCCCGAGTTTGGTTCAACTGCTTGATTCTAGTCCACAAAATACGGCTAAAAAATACGCAGTTTCTTGTTTGGGTTTGCTTTCTTCGAGCAAAAGGTGTAGGAAACTGATGGTTTCCTACGGGGCAATCGGGTATCTCAAGAAACTCAATGAGTCAGAGATACCCGGTTGTGGGAAGTTGCTTGAGAAGTTGGAAAGGGGGAGGTTGAGAAATTTGTTTGGGAAAAAGTAGATTTTGTTGTTTCATTATCTTGTATGAAACAGAAACACTAGTGAATGTATGAATTTATTAACTTTTGGGATGTTTTCATAAGTTTCTACAGAAATAAGTAATTGTTGTAAGTAAATTATTTATTGTGTTTTGGGTTGTTACTTTATCTTTTGAAGGTAGACAGTATTATGATGCTATGAGAAAAGAAAGTACATAGATTCATATGCATTGAATTATAGGTAAATTCGTCGGTTTGCTAAATTTTGTTTCTAATGGATTAGATGAGTAAAAGCTAAAAAGGTAAGGATGAGTAGAAACCAAAAGTTATTGGATGCGTAGAAAGGTCTCGATTATCACATGTTTGGTTTGATCCAGCTGTGGAACACTAGAACCTGATTTCTTACGTATAGAACTTCAAACTCAGTATTTTCAGTTTAATTAAGGGTTTTTTTTTTTTTTATTTATTTTTTATAATTGTTTTTCTTAAATTAATAAATCGTGTTATGTTAGTGATTTCATCACATATATTTTACGCAGCTATTATAAGCAATTTTTGTTGCTTCTAAACCTCAAATTTGTCATACCAAATATTGAACGATTGGAATGGGGCATTTGCTTGTAAATGTTAAGTGTATATATAGATAATATTTGTATAGTCCCATGTATTATATATAATGTGAATATATTAGCTACGGGAAATGTGTTGTCTAGCATGTTAGTGGATATAGATGATAATCGTATAGGCATGTGTATTAGACCATTTATTATATAGCCCACTCTTGTATATTGTATATATATTATGTTTAATAGGAAGATAAATATATAGTTATGATATTCCCAAGTGGTTGATTTTTACCAACCCTTGGTTTCTGTGATCAAATCATGTTGTCATCCTCAAAGGTCCTTATTGGTTTCAACCAAACTCCTCGCACATAGTTCTATTGTTTTACCTCATTTACTACATGTATGGGGTTCCATCACAGCCACACAAACTCTTTCTTATATATCACATAATGTCAGATTAAGAGAATGGAAACCAAAAGAAGTGTAAAATGCTCTAGGATTTATATCTAAAAATCTCTTTTGCACTCATTGGTGTTTTCCTTTCATATTTGCTCCATTATCATAGCCTTGACCACACATATCATCAATTTCAAGACCAAGAGATTTTAACTAATCCTCAAGTGTAATATCAAATAGTTATTTTCCAAAGGTATCATCAACATTCAAAAAACCTAAAAAGGACTCCTCGACAGTAACAGAATTATATGATAAAGTTAAATATCTCACTATTATAGTCATTTATTCCTGGTGACTTGAATCGGGAGTACAATCAAGTATGATTGAGTAGTACTTTGCTTCCTTTATCTTCTTGATAAGTTCTTTTTTAATTTCTTGAGCTGACAAAGATATTAGTTTGTTTTGGATTAAGTGACCAAGATAATACACATGAAGCCCATCACTTGTGATCTGTCGCACATGCTCTATGATAACTGGGTCAAACTCTTCCAACATTTCAATGACACTCAAAAAATTTCCGTTACCTATTAAATACAATTAATAAATAAGAAGTGAAAGCAGTCATAACAATTAACAAAAAGGTATTTGTTAGAATTAGAACAAAAAAATTACAATTTATAGTTACCTTTTTATATAACTTTTCATTGGATCCACGAAATGCTAAATTATGTTTAGCAAGAA